GATTAGTTTCCATCCATTGCTTCTCGTCCTGCCCTCAGGTGCTTTGGAGAATAAGTTGACCCCCTCTTCTTTGGGGCAGCCCCTGAGATATTGCCAACCGACTCACATTTACGACGGTTGCGATGTCCCAGGATCACGTGGTCTCCTTTTGCGCCATCACTGACAAGCATAGTCAATGGGGAAGTCAAGATTCATTTAACGACCTTAGCAACTGCAGTGATTCACTTCATCACTGTGGCAAGAAAGGTCGTAAAATGGAGGAAAAACTCACTTAACAACCGTCTCGTTTAGCAAATGGAAAGTTGACCTCAATTGTGGTCATAAAGTGAGGATTTCCTATATATATAAGTTGGTTTCAGAGAGGCCCAATCGGCTGTCGTTTTTCGTAGATGTCTCAGTTGTGTTTCATGGACACAGAAGGAAAAGGTGCCTGTTTGCCGGATGTGAGACCCCATGCTGGTAATCCTCAACTTATGAGAGTTCATTTAGTAACTGTTCGAAGTTACGGCGGCACTGAAAAAAGTGACTTTTCCCACTTACGACCGTTGCAGATCTCCACAGTCTCGTGATTTACATTTGGAGGCTTGACAACTGACTCAGCTTTACGACCGTTTTGCAGGGTCAAGGGGTCATGTAATCCCCTTTAGCGACCTTCTGACCAGGCCAGATTCACTTAGCAACCGGGTTACCCGTTTAAGAACTGCAGCGATTCACTTAACGACCGGGGCAGGGAAAAGTGGCGGAACGGAGCTGAACTCCCTTAACAAATTCCTCGCTTCACAGCACACATTTTTGGGAGGCCGGTGGTGGTCGTATGCGGAGGACTTCCCCGCGTTGACTTAGTGAGCTTCTCCTTTGGCAGGTGATGCCTCCCAGCCTCATGGTCGCCGGGATCTACTGCACGGCGGTGGCCGTCTTCTTCACGACGGTTAAAACCGTCAACTACCGTCTGCACACCATGTTCGACCAGGGGGAGATCGTGGAGAAAAATTCGGTTCTGGTGGAATCCGGCAAGCTCGACGAGAGGGCGGCTGCTGACGACGACAATTTGACCAGGTGAGAACAGGCCGTAAGTGCGGGCAGACTTGCAACAGTTCGTTTAGGGACTGCCTGAAGTTACAACGGCACTGAAAGAAGTGACTTGGGAACATTTTTCACATTTACGACCGTTTTGCACACACACACCCCATTTTGGTCGTGTGATCCAAATTCAGACGCTTTGACGACTGATTCGTATTTCTGAGCGTTGCAGCGTCTGGGGGTCATGTCATTCCGTTTGGAGACCTTCAACGGGAAGCCCGATTCACTTAGTAACCGTGTTACTAACTTAACAACCGCAATGATTCACTTAACAGCCGTGTTCCTAACTTAATAACTGTAGTGATTCACTTAACTGTATTACTAATTTAACAACCGCAGTGATTCACTTAACAGCCGTGTTCCTAACTTAACAACTGCAGTGATTCACTTAACAACCATGTTACTAACTTAACAACTGCAGTGATTCACTTAACAACCGTGTTACTAACTTAACAACCACAGTGATTCACTTAACAGCCATGTTCCTAACTTAATAACTGCAGTGATTCACTTAACTGTATTACTAATTTAACAACTGCAGTGATTCACTTAACAGCTGTGTTCCTAACTTAACAACTGCAGTGATTCACTTAACAACCGTGTTACTAACTTAACAACCGCAGTGATTCACTTAACAGCCATGTTCCTAACTTAACAACTGCAGTGATTCACTTAACTGTATTACTTACTTAANGTGTGTGTGTGTGTGTGTGTGTGTGTGAGATTTTTTTTTGGCAGCCTACAACGTGCGACACTGCAGTCCGAATCACTCACACCCTATTTTAGATTAAGAGCTGTGAACTACACAGAGATGCATCTCAGCTCCTGGCTCTCCCAACGGTGGGGGAGCTCAAAATCCTCTTTTTCTGCCCCATCCCTTTTAGCCACTCTGTGCACCAGTGATGGGGTGGGGGGGTGGGGGTGGGAAACCCCATCTTTACAATCAAATCTTTGGACCCACGCCATGAATCCCTCCGTCCGTTTCCCCCAGAACAAAATCCAGGCTGGGAAGAACTGGGATGAGTTTGAGAGTTGCTGTGAATCGCGCAACAAGAACCAGCCTTATTTAAGGGAATAGCAGGGGCCTTGGAGGACTTCTAGTCCAGCCCCCTGCTCAAGCAGGGTACCCTATTTCAGACAAATGGTTGTCCAATTCTTCAGACTAATAGAATGACGGAAGGGACCTTAGAGGGCTTCTAGTCCAACCCCCTGCTCAGGCAGGAAATCCTATGCTATTTCAGACAAACGTTCAATCTCTTCTTTAAAGCCTCCAGGGATGGAGCAGCCACAACCTCTAGTGGCAAGCAGTTCCCCTGGTTAATTGTCCTCACTGTTAGGAAGTTTCTCCTTAATTCCAGGTGTCTTCTCTCCTTGGTTAGTTTCCATCCATTGTTTCTCATCCTGTCTGTCCTCAGGTGCTTTGGAGAATAGCTTGACCCCCTCTTCTTTTATGGAAGCCCCATAATCCTTAACAGAAATAACCGAATAAGAGAGTTGGAAGGGACCTTGAGGTCTTCTAGTCCAACCCCCCCCCCCGGGGGCGCTCAAACAAGGAACCCTATACCATTCAGGCAAATGGTTGTCTAATCTCTTAAAAGCCTCCAGTGATGGAGCATCCACAACTTCTGGTGGCCAGCTGTTCCACTGGTTAATTGTTAGGAAATTTCCCCTTAGTTCTAGGTTGCTCCTCTCCTTGATTAGTTTCCATCCATTGCTTCTCGTCCTGCCCTCAGGTGCTTTGGAGAATAAGTTGACCCCCTCTTCTTTGGGGCAGCCCCTGAGATATTGCCACACTGTTATCATGTCACCCTGTCTCCTTCTTTTCATTAAAGTAGACGTACCCAATTCCTACAACTGTTCTTCATATGTTTTATCCTCCAGTCCCCTAATCCTCTTTGTTGCTCTTCTCTGCACTCTTTCTAGAGTCTCCACATCTTTTCTACATCGTGGTGACCACTCCCCTAATCAGCTAATCTTCTTGGT